TGTCCCGTTCAGCCAGCATCCCCGAAGCGGTATCTTTTGGTTATAATTGTGACTTATGTTATTTGCGCCATACAAAATTGCTTAACATTGCTGGCCATCAAGTAGACCTAGTAGGGACTGTTGCAGTGTTGATGCAATTCGCGGCCGGCTTGAGTATTTAACAGCGGGAGCCGGCTGTGATGCGATCAAAGCAGTCAGACCTAAAAACTGTCTCGACCGACGACTAGGTCGTTTACTGGCCAGCTAATTGGTGACCCGGTCGCTGAAGACCGGGTCAGCGAAAGCCAGAACCTAGGGGGCTGTGTGGTCACGAGGAATTGGTTACTACTTGTGTGCTATGGTGTTGATCCGGTGTTCAAACCTTCAAGCCAAAACCTTTTATCTCTCGCGAGATCAGATTCGGTACACGATGAAGCGAAGAAGTGGTACAAGAAAACTAATTTGTGTATAGGTAGTTATCGCATGGGGAAAGTAAAAACCGAAGGATCCTCTTTAAACAATTTTCGCTTCAATGGGGTTTTTACCCTAGACCTCTGCGCCTGCAGGTGAGAGTAGAATAGTGAGACCAAACAGCCATTATTAGATGCACATAGGGTTGAGTAAATACACTGCCCGAACCTATCAAGGCCATCGGGTTTCGGATTGCTTATTACTGTATTATGAAAATCTGTTGGCAGAAAGACTGCACATATTTGTTTCGTTTATGTTTATGTTTAATTAAGAATCGACATCACGCACTAGGTATATTCCCATAAACGTTCTGTCTACATCTTCAGCAGCAAGCGCCGAAGACCATTCCTGAACTACTACCAGCAAAAAGTCTGATTGTATGTCCGTCTCACCTCACCCTCAAGTCTTGCACGTCGGCCAAATAACCTGGTCATTCCTCGATTCACCACTCTCCTCAGACCGTGATAATTCATTGTTTCGTCAAGAAAGGACGGAGAATACTTTTTAAATAACTAATAATATAAACAGGGACAAACATCTCGGGGGTAAACAAACTTTTCTTGAATTCATCGTTTGTGTCTTTTAATTTCTTTAATTCTCCTGTTGCTGTTGCTGATTCGGCGCATTAGTATCTTTTATATATGCAGTAATCATTTTATCTAGGTACAGACAGTTTTTCCTTCAAATGTATGTTGTTAGTCAAATAAGTTCTCAGTTCTCGAACGTCGTCCTCAGGCTCGTCAAACCAAACCTCTGAGATTGATGCTCAAAGAGGTATTTTAGTATCTTTTTCACAATAACAATACGATAGCCACAAAAGGTCTGCAGCCCTTCTTTTAATTTTTCCTGAATGAACCCTTTGATATTACTGGGACAGCTAGCTCCTTTCTTATAACAGAGACCCAGCACAATGAAACATCTTGTTATCCTCCGAATAACCGTAAGTATAACGGTCCCAAATTATCGAGGCCGAAAATATCGCCTCAGTCACTTGTCAATTGCAGACTTACGGGGACCATACCGCCATCTCCAAGAGTATCCTCCACGCCTCGTGAGCGACATGTGACTGAGGCCCTGTTAGGGTATATTTTCGGCCTCAATAATTTGGGACCGTTATTCAGAGGATAGCCCACGGTCACTCACAACAAATCAGAAAAGAAAATAATAACCATAGAAGTTGTAATGTCTGAAAAAAAACTACAGGGATGACCATAAAAGAAAAAAAAGGAATGAGGTCATAAGAAAACAAATCAGCCCAGGACCCGTTCTAAATTACAAAGACTGTAAATTAAATGGTTTGCTGACTTGAGAGAAAATGTCTTGTGACATCATACCATACAAGACGTACACAAAAATAGAAGAAAGATATAGAGCACGAGGCCGACTAAGAACAAGATGCAACGGTAACATCAGAGAAACCCTACAGCTGCATGATTTATCTATGGCTGAGGTGTCCGCAAAAACAAGAAGCAGAACCTAACATCTACTTGACACTCAAAGTGGTAACAGAAGAAGTGAAGGAAGAAGAAGAACTACACTAATAGAATCCTGTTTGTTGAGCTTTTGTCATTAGCTTTTCACCTGTATCAGGTTGATACTATCATCATCAACCTTTTCCTCGACAGCCTTTGTCTGTCACCTGTATTTTTCAGCATAGTCTTTTTAATAGGACACTGTTTGTCTACCCTCCAAATAATGGTCCTAAATTATAGGGGTGGAAAATATACCCTAACAGGGCCTCAGTTGCGCACTTCCGGGAATTATAATGCCATCGCCGAATTGCCAACTTCCGGCGACTTCCGCCGCCGCCGAGAGTATCCCCCACTCCGCTCATGCGGCGTGGATTGGAGCTAAACTAGATGGCTAGGACTCACGAGCAAATAAATCAAACTGCAGGAGATGCGGTAGCTGCTGCTCGTGAGTCCCAGCTATCTTGTTTAGCCCCAATCCATGCTGCGCGGGGGATACTCTCGGCGGTGGCGGAAGTCGCCAGGAGCGCGCAGTTTAAGACGGTGGAAGTGCACAATTGACATGTGATTGAGGCCCTGTTAGGGTTATTTTCCGCCTCGATAATTAAGGACCGTTATTCGGAGGATAGCCCACAGTTTGAAGTTAAGGTTGAGCGGATCAACTTCACTGCACCAGGTTTGATCTCATATGGCTCAGTCTTTTACTGTAGAAGAACTAGCCGCCCACTTAAAGCATTGCTCAAAGCATGAACACTGTAGTTCCGGGGACAATCCCCAGGGGCCTCTGTACAAATAGCACTCTCAAAAGAACCAGATTACGCAGCTGGGAAACAAACCCATGACGTTCAGTGCATGAGGAAGATGCCTTGGCCATAGAGACCTCCTGAATTAGACAGCAAAAGCTAAGCCTCACATAACTGTTGTATACAAGGCTTTTTTTAATGGAAAAATAGGGGCCAGTACTTGTCACAGAGTGTCTAAAAAGGTACCATTACCAAAAATGTCTAAAAAGGTACCATTACCAAAAGTGTCTAAAAAGGTACCATTACCAAAAGTATCTAAAAAGGTACCATTACCAAAAGTGTCTAAAAATGTGAGGGTATTTACCACAAAGTGTCTGTTACAATAACTCTTAAAAATAATGTAGAAAAGTACCGGTACTGTGCACTGTTGCGTACCACTCGGAAAAAAAGCCCTGGTTATATGAGCCCATTCCAGTTAGACATTTATTACTTCACAGTAGCGAGCTGCAGTAGCATCGTGTCTAGATGCTCATCTTCAACCCCAGAAGTTGTGGGTTTGAATCCACATCTAGGCGAATATTTTACTAAACTAACCTTGGCTCCCAAACTGACCTCTTCTAATGGGTACTGGGTAATGTCCTGGGAAGTAAAAGCGGCCAATTTGATGTTTACCACATCACCTAGGGAATGCTGATTGATCTATAAATGTATGTCTAGCAACGTATACCTAATGCGCTACTGGTGCTCACTGTACTTTACACCTACCTGGGTGGGAGATATTTAAAATAAAAATGAATGTATGGATTCTCCAAATCATGCACTGTACGTTGTGTTTCATCTGTAGAGTTAAAAATCCACATGTTTGATATATTATAATGTATATGGGATAACAGGGATGTCTTTTGTCGCCTCTCTTATTTTTACTGGCTATAGACTGGACTATGAAAACAGTAACTGCTAACACCAAGAATGGAATTCAGTGGACCCCTACAAAACAGCGTGATGATCTGGACTTCGCTGATGATATTGCCCTTCTGTCCCATTCAGGAAATCAGATACAAGATAAATTAAATATACTTAATGTGAGATCACAGCAGCTTGGTCTGAAAATCCATAAAGGAAAGACAAAGATAATGAGAATAAATCAGGCAAATAGAAGTGTGGTTTCTCTAAATGGCACCCACTCCAAGACGTGGAGTCGTACACCTATTTAGGCAGTAATGTAGATAAAGATGGAGGAACTGATAGAGATATTAAAATAAGAATACAAAAGGCAAGAGGGGCTTTCATAGCACTAGGGAATTTGTGGAGGTCAAAAGAAATTAAAAGAAATACTAAACTAAAATTTTTTAATTCTAATGTCAAATCAGTACTATTGTATGGGGCGGAAACATGGAGAACAACCAAGGCAATTACTAATAAATTACAGACATTCATTAACTGGTGCCTGCGCAGAATAGAGGGAATAAAATGGTATGATAGAATAACTAATGTAGAACTTTGGGAGAGAACTAAACAGGCTCCAGTGGATCAGGAGGTGAGGAAAAGACGCTGGCGTTGGATAGGGCACACACTGAGAAAACAGGAGAACAGCATAACTAGAATTTCTTTGCATTGGAACTCACAGGGGCATAGGAATAAAGGAAGGCCAAAAAATACATGGAGAAGAGAGCTGGAGAATGAGGTTAGAAAGATTGGGAGGACATGGGGAGAGCTCCATGTAATGGCGAAGGATAGAACGACTTGGAATGAGTTGGTTGAGGGCCTATGCTCCATTGGGGGATAGAAAGGCAGAAGAAGAAGAAGATGAGATAAAGAAAATGCTTTAAAAAATGTACACATAAGAAATATTTAAAAATTCTGAAAATCTACATGCTCAATTAATATATTCTTCTTATTTTGTTTACTGGCTGTAAGATACAACAGAAAGTCTTAGTTCATCCATTTTGCCTTTGGCTTTGTGCCACAGCCTGAGCGATGTGTGTACATATTTGTACTGGCTTATTTGTGTGCAGTTGGTCATTGCTTGCTGCTTGGGCAGTTATACTCCGACTTCGAAGAAAGCTCCCAATATGTCACTAATGCGACATGCTTGTTGGGGAAGAAGCGGGTCTGTTCTTTTTTTCCCCCCATAATGGGGCCCCGGAACCCACACAGGAAAGTCAATATATTAAAATTTGTTGATTATACGAAAATATGCTGCTAAAGTTTCATGTATGTTTGAAATAATAAATTAAAATTGGCTAAAAAGAAAATGTTGCTCAAATCTGTACTGTTTATTGAAGTAATATTATATACTGTTCTGTGTTCCAGGGTTTAGGAAGCACAGAACACAGCCATGTCCACAGATAACACAACATCTGAGTTCCCTGATGTTACCAATACAATTGTTGACAAACTGTGTGGAGATGTTCACACCCTTCCCCTGACATCGGCAAAAAGAACTTTCACTAAGACAGTGCTCAAACAAGGTGAAGGTTTTTTACGACCATATATGGAAGCTACATGTATTCTGGATATTATTGATAAAACACCTGAAAATGGAGCTGAGAATAAAAGTGAACATTTAGAAAGGTTAAAAATTCAATTAGGAGCAAATGTAGAATTGATGCTAGGATCGGCAGAAACTGAAGTTGCCAGAATTGTGGAAAAATGTGTTTTAACGATGAGAAAAGGGGAAGAGAGTGAGTTCATTGTGAAATTTGTGAGTCGTGGAGATGGCAACACCCAAGGACAGCTTATGTCGTATGTTCTTGTCTTATATCTCCATAGCTTCTCAGAAACAAAGCCAACCTGGTCACTGGCATCTGATGAGAAATACCGCCTGGCCTTGTTACATAAAGACAAGGGAACAGAATATTTTAAAGATGGCAGAATTGAAGCAGCATTTTGTCAGTATAGTACTGCCACCGTATACCTAATTTGCATATCAGAATGCACATCAGTTATTGATAAAAATGACAAGCCACAGGCAAAATCCCAGATTGAAAAATATAAGGCTTTAAAATGTGTTTGTTACCTAAATCTGGCAGCTTGTCAAATGAAGGTGGCTAATCATAAAAGTGTCATAACCAATTGTACAGAAGCTCTGAAACTAGACAAGTCCAATGTTAAAGCGCTGTACAGAAGAGCACAAGCTTACCTGGCATGTGGGGACAAGAAAGAAGCAAGGTAGGTAACCTATTGTGAAACCTAATGAATATACAGTAAAAAGGGTAAAGCAAATAAAGGAATCCCTTCTACAGAGGCCACCACATTCAGCTGTAAGCAAAGAACCCTTTTTCAAGCCCCAGGCATATTGGCTCGACTTACATTTTGTAGACTGATCGCCACTTGGTGGGTGATGTGGTCAGCATCACACCAGCCGCTTTTGCTTCCCATGACTTTTACCTGGTGCCCATTCTGGGTTGACCTGGGGGCCAAGGGTATTTTAAGAAAAAAAAGTCCAGCCCTCTGGATTTAAACCCATGACACATGACATTCGGATCCGCAGGTGAGTTAGTCACAACACAATGGTGACTCCCACATTCAGATGTAGCTGCCTGTTTTACTATTAAATTTATTGTTTTGAATCTTCAACATTTATTCAGTCAATCACTCACATGCTGCCTCCACAGTGAAGGTTGGCTGTGATGGATCTTCAGCAATCTCTTGTCTCTTGCCCTGTTTTTACATTCTGTTTGCTCACCTTTTGATTTTATCCTATCTCACTTTTCTGGCTTGCTTGTCTTCTCTCATCACTTGGTGGTTGGAGTATTCTTCCCTCTGTTATTGTTGTGCAGTTCAGTTTGTGTCGAGAAAGGCCCCGGCTGAAACTTCAGTTTGTGTTGTTTTGTGCAAGTTTGTCTGCTTCCCTATTTTGTTAAGATCTTTAGCCACATTTCACTGAATTAATCTCTTGTCTTCCAACTGCTTCCTCCAGTAACTTAGAAGATTCAGTCAACATGAGCAACCTGACTGCAGCCAGTAGTGTTGGGGGCAGCTAGCTCTCCTAGGAGGGTGAAAAGTGAAAATTAGTAGCCAGATGCTGTTCCTTGATTGCACATGCCAGTCCCCCCCCCCCCCCCACCACCACCACCAGTGGTGCAGACTGGAAACTGTATCTGTGAGGATACAGGTAAACAGGGAAATGGCCACCTGGGGAGGAATGGGAGCCCCACCAGGGTTGAAATACTGCCCGAGACGCAAGGCGAAATATCCAATGGTATGGACATGTAATAAGATCTAACGTTCTCTCAAAAACAATACTGCAGCGCTCAATAGAGGGAAAGAGGAGAAGAGGCAGACCAAGAAAGACCTCGTTATAGAACCTGACTGACTGGACAGGCCTAAGTCATGCAACCATGAAGTCCATCACAACTGACCGCCAAAGGTGGAGGGAGGTGATCAGACGGTCAGCAGAAGCTGGTGACGCAATGATACATAGTATTACGGAATGATGATGATGAGCAACCTGTCTTGAAGCTTTATTTTCATTATTTCACATAAGAACGTTTAAAATACGATACTCAGAGAAAGTAAATAATAACAGAGTCCACGACACATTAATTATACACGAAACTTCTTCATCTTCAGGGAAAACTGTCACTCTTTGGCTGCATTGTAGGATGTATGTAAACAATATTGGTATTTGGATATCAAAATGAAATGTGCCTAATTGATTTTTACGAGTTGAAATAAGAAATCAAGTTATTCCTGGAAAAGCAAGGAAAATAAAAACTTGTGGCCGGTTTTAATAATGAAGCTTGGTTGAGAAGAATTACTTACCTAGCAGACATATTAAAATAACAAAGGAGGTTTGAGATTTGAACAACGAATCAACATCATGGCACACGGGTAGTATGCCATAAGTGCTCAGTTCTTCTTGTAAAATGGGACTGAATAGAGGTTTGTTGAAACTGGATGTGCTGTCGAAAAGAAATTGAGATAACAGTATTTCATGCTTACCACAACACAGTGTATCAACTGCCACTTTTAAGGGGGAATGAAGAAGAAAAAGAAGTAAATGTAGAATAATGTCTGATAATGACCAAAGTTCTTTCATCATGTAATGAGAAGAGAAGCACTAGAAAATATAATGACAGCTGGAAAGATCACTGGTAGCAGAGGCAGACCAAGAGAAATGATGGTGGATGGTTTTAGACAGTGGTGTGGCGGAATATCATCAGTGGAATGGATCCAGAACACCAAAGACCGAGAGCTGTGGAGATGCATGAACGCGTTTACCGGCTGGCAAGGCACTTGATGATGAGAATAATGTTTGAGATTGTCTAAGTACAGTCATTGGCTGACAATAGAGTGAAATTGCATCTATAAAATGTATGTGATTTTTTTTTTAAACCTTTGATCTTTTTTTTTTAGGACTGACCTTAAGCAAGCACTGAAGATTGAGCCCAAAAATGGGGCAGTCTCATCACTCCTGCAGCAGTGTAAACAGTGACAGGAAGATAACAAGATGGTGAAAGTACAGATAGCAAAATTATAAAAGAACTGATAACAAGATTTTGAAAGCACAAATAATAGGATGGTTTTCTTTTTTTTTTTAAAAATTGTAGATGTGTTTGGCTTTGTTTTTGTAGCTGGTGATGAGCATTAACATCAGGTAACTTAAAAAAAAAGGTCCATTAATGGTCGTTTGATAGTTGTTTCTCGAGCTGAAAATAAGATTTATATCCCTTGCCATCATTAAAAGGCAACAAATAAAATGGAGAGAAATTTAGAGAAAATGCCTTCTGATGCCATACCATACAAGGCATACACCAAAAGAGGAGAGGGATAAGATGAGAGATAACATCGAAGAAACTCGACAACATTACAATGTGTCTGTGGTCACGGTGACCAGAAGAGCAAGAAGCAGAACTGTATATCTTCCTCGACACCCAAAGTGGTTAAAAAATTAAAACAAAATAAGAAGCGAAGAAGGTCATTACTTACCTTCTCATATCATTGCCAAGGTAGGCATGTAGTATTGCTCATTGTATGATCACCTGGTATTGCCAGATATTTTGGGGGCACTAAAATGTCCCAGCTATTTAAAATGACAGGTTTTGTTTCATAATCTATGAACTAACATATGTTTTTTTAAACTAATTCCTTTATGTATTAAACCAATACATTTTTGTTTATTGTTTAAATCTGATGTTTCATAATGTCAGAAGGATATGTACAAAATATACACAGGAAAGTCATCCACAGCTAGAGTCTGTCTAGAACACTGGCTCTCAACCTTCCTAATGCTGCGGCCCTTTAATACAGTTCCCAATTGTTTTCCTTCATAACTTTGATGAATATGTGTTTTGTGATGGTCTTATACGACCCCTGTGAAAGGGTCATTCGTCCAAAAAAAGGGTAGTGACCGGCAGGTTGAGAACCGCTGCTCTTGGCGTATGTTAAGGGAATTCTAAACAATAAACTGCATGATCAGTGCTTTCTTGCACTCAGATAGTTAAGATTTCAGGTTGTTATTGTTTTGTAAAGCTTCCACCTGTTGACGGTTAAGTAGTAGAATTTGCTTTGATTCGCAAGCTGCTGTTTATTCCTTGAGTGTTTGAGATAACGGCGTGTCAGATCTGAAAGATACCACTAATCTTCTGTCAGGCAGGTGCCTTTTCAGAAGTCTTTTGGAAGTGAAATAAAATACTAGGCTTTCACATTGCCTCGACCCTTTTGGCCCAAGAAGCCAAATCTCATTACTTCTGTTTAGACATGTCCCTGTAAATGCCAGTTGATTGGAATTTCTGCAGTGGCCTATTCTTAAGCCTAGCTTAATTTAACACCATTGATTCTGTTGGTGCCTCTGCAATGTTTAGGAAACCTAGATATGAATATATTTACTTAATATAACATGTGGGAGTTTATGTAGGAGGAATCTATGGTGGGTGGGTGGGGGGGGGGGGGGGGGTGTGTGGATGGCAGGGGGTGTCTTGTGAACAAAATATCTTTTAAAATCTATTTTGATGTCATAATTTTCCTGTAGCCTCATTGTTAAAAGTCACCCATTACATACTTTTGCAGAGTATATTTATTCAATTCACTCCTTTCATGTTTATTTGTTACTAATTTGACGTATTTCTTGGCCAAAGTTAAGAAAATTTAGATAAATACATTTTAAAATAAATTTTTTAGTGACCTGTGTAAAAAAAAAAATTTTTTAAGAATTTTTCCTGAGAATTTCTAAGGGTGACATTCTGTAGTTAACCATTAAAGAGTATCAGAGAAAGAAAAAACATGGTCACATAATCTTACATAAGCTTGCTGAAGTCATCACTTTGCAGCATTTACCAACTTAGCATTCACTGCACACACAGACTTTGAGACTATCCAAGAATCATGTTAACAGGGTTCCCAGTTCTCAGTTGATTCATTCTGTTTTACTGTAAGCATTTCTTTGTTCAGTGGGAAACAAGTGGATTGAGAAAAAAGAACCTCCAAGAGAACTGCCAAGATGTCCGTTGTTGAGAAAGGCCAAAGGTGCTGGAATGGATCCAATCCATCTTATCAAAAAGATCCCCGTGGGGGTTGAGGGGCCCTATTTTGAGGAGATAAAGGAATATATTCCAACTGCCTCTCTAACACGCTTGTCTTAAAAAGCGACTAAACAGGGATTTTCTCATCTGCGAGAGGTGAGAAACTAACAGTCTGCATACAAGTAAGCCAGATTTGTAAAATGGATGTTCACACAAAAATATCCAGAAGTGGACAAACAACCAGAAGTTTCTGCTGGAGAGTACAGCTGGTGAGCACACTAAGAAGGAGGAAAGACTGCAGGCCCTAGCTGATCTGTACCAGCATGACAGGATGTTAATACTTTGTTTGGAAGCTGCCGTGGCAAGCACATCTGCCTGCCAACTGGCAGTGTTGTTGTGTTTGAATCTCCATTGAGACACTTTAAAATTGGCATGGGTTCCAGCTCAACCCAGCCTAAACATTAGTATCAGGAAATATTCTGGAAGGTAAAGGTGGTTAGCATGATGTTGACATAGTCTATAATTTTTATGTGGTATGTTTATGGAGGTTTACAAGGACATTGTTTGTGAGGAGTGAAGCTTGTAGTTATCATTTTCCTAATATGTCAATATTATCTCTCCCTCCCCCCCCACCCCCCCCCCCCTATCCCCCCCCCCCCCCCCCCCCCCCCCCCCCCCCCTTTTTTTTTTCCTTCCCCTTTTGTTTTTGTTTTACACATTTCTAATATACACGCTGCATGTAATGGTTTTTTTATTTACACTTTTGTAACACATTATACTGTCCCAGAGATTTCCTTTGTATACCAGCTTTATTTTTGAACATCTTATGCGGAAAATGTTTTTGAAAAGATGTAAAGAGTACACTGTATATCTGAATATTTGTTTCATAGATTAAAGTAAGTACTTTGATTGAATTAAGTTTATCAGAGACAACAGAGTTTCCAGCACATTTGATCCACTTCATTGTTACATTGTTTCAGTACCAACTAGCAGCTGTCAGAGAAGCTGGTGTAATATCAGACTAGTGGGGGTGAAAAGCAGGGTGCATCTCTCTCCATACTGGTTCAACATCTATGCCAAAAATAGAATGAGAAATTCAAAGTATTTTCTAGCTGAAAATTTAAATAAAGCAGACAAGCAAAAATGAATAATCTACATTGTGCAAACAAAAAGATTGTGGGATAAATTCGAAATTACCGTGGTAATCAGTTGGCTGATCTTGAATTTCCAGTGGGTAGGACATTCTGATTTGTGCTTTTCTGTGAAAAAGATCCACTTTTGTGTGTGTGCGTGGCAGGGGGGGGGGGTGGGGGGGGGGTCTTTTTTTTGATTATATGTTGACAAATTATAGTAATGCACCTGACATAATAAAAACAGGATAGGAAGTGGCAGAAGTCATTAAACCTTTAGCAGTTTGGATTCATTTTTTAAACGATGCAAATCTGATTCCAGAATTCTGATAATAAGGCCCTTATGTGCCAAGGAGATAAAAAAAAAAAGTTAATTCTCTTCAACAAAAATAGTAAATATATAAATCTTGTTCTCGACTCGGGCTTCATTGATTATTGGTTCATCTGATGACCTTACCAACTGCAGCAGGGAACTTGGAGGATCAAAATCTGGTCATCAGGTTTATAATGAAAATAAAATTCTGCAAAGGAGTTGCCACAATAATAATCTTGATTTTGTAACTGCTTTCCATACTTTAAACAAGATTTTTTTCTGTTTTGGACAGTGCCTGTATTTTGTGATCGCATGTATACAATTTGTTGTTTATTCCTTAAAAGTCTCATATTTCTAACATTCACGTTTTTATCAGAATGGCACTGGTCACTTCACTTCATTCAAAGGGCTTCACATAAAAATCTTAGAAGTGCAATAGAAATTACAGTAACAACAAGCGCCTTTTGTTTTGTAATCTGTCAGCATTGGGAAAACAGATAACAGAACGCTACTCCGCATTGGTGCGTGTCAGAAGTGGGGGATGGCCAGTAAATTTAGTTGTCATTAGGACATTGCAGTGTTCATCTGCACTGTGATATAACATACTTAACACTCTTGATATCCTTAACAACAGTATTGACAAGTTTACAAAGACAATTTGAAGCACCCTCGGACCTTACATTTAATATGATTTCTGTCACACTAATTTTAGCATAGGTCCTGTCATTAATTGTGACCTAGGCTGCATACTAATTGAGACCTAGCATACAGTCCTGTCATAAATTGAGACCTAGCATACAGTCCTGTCATACTAATTGAGACCTAGCATACAGTCCTGTCATGCTAATTGAGACCTAGCATACAGTCCTGTCATACTAATTGAGACCTAGCATACAGTCCTGTCATCATTGAGACTAGCAAGTCCTGTTGCTAATTGTGACCTAGCATACAGTCCTGTCATACTAATTGTGACCTAGCAGACAGTCCTGTCATTAATTGTGACCTAGCAGACAGTCCTGTCATGCTAATTGTGACCTAGCAGACAGTCCTGTCATGCTAAAATTAGTGTCTACAATAATGAGGTGTGACAATGTCTCAAAACAAAGCCATTCCTCCCCACCTGTCATATTTGAAAATAACATTTAAAGAAAAAAAGTGGGTTATCTTGTGAAGATGAATACAACACGACTTTGCTGTCATTCTGGATTAAAAATGATTGCTTGTACAGTTATGTCTGTTTTTTTTTTTAAAATTTTCTTTTGCTAAAAAAAAAAATACAAACAGGTTGTGAGTCACCGTAGCCTAGCGGCGAGACACTCACGTGTGAACTGGAAGGTGGTGGGTTTGTTCAGTGGCGAAGGGGGACTTTAAAAAAATGACCTTGACTCACGGGTCGACCCAGCCTTAAGTGGGTAACGGGTGCAGTCCCGGGAAGTCAAGGCCACCGGTGTGATGCTGACCGCATCACCCATCTTGTGCTTATTGGTCTATAAAAATATAGGTTTAGTTATATATGCCCTATACGCCTAAA